CACCTCGCCTCCGACGCCGTCCTCTACAACCCCTCCGACCTCGCCACCTGGGTCGACTCCCTCCTCACCGAGTTCAACCACCAGCCCCTCATCTCTCTCCCCTCAGATCTCGACTTCTCCGACGGCGCCGTCATCAATAATCCCGCCGCCCTCCCCCGCGAAACATGGACCGATAATTCCGCCGTCATCGCCGCCGCGCCGCAGCAGAACCACAACCAGCTCACCGTCGTCACCGCCATGGAAGAAGATTCCGGGATTAGGCTGGTCCACTTGCTTGTCACGTGCGCCGAATCCGTCCAGCGTGGCGACCTAGCATTGGCCGGCTCCCTGATCGAGAACATGCAGGCTCTGTTGACACGTGTCAACACCAGCTGTGGCATCGGGAAGGTCGCCGGGTACTTCATCGACGCCCTCAGCCGCCGAATCTTCTCGCCGCAGACCGTCGGCTCGGCTTCCGGCTCGGTTCACGAGAATGAGCTTCTCTACCACTACTTCTACGAGGCCTGCCCCTATCTCAAATTCGCGCACTTCACCGCCAATCAGGCCATCCTGGAAGCATTCGACGGTCACGATTGCGTCCACGTCATCGACTTCAACTTAATGCACGGCCTCCAATGGCCAGCCCTTATTCAGGCCCTAGCACTCCGCCCCGGTGGGCCCCCCCTGCTTCGGTTGACCGGCATTGGACCGCCGTCCCCGGACGGGCGCGACTCGCTGAGAGAAATCGGCCTCCGACTCGCCGAGTTGGCCCGGTCCGTCAACGTCGGCTTCGCTTTCCGCGGCGTGGCGGCTTCGAGGCTCGAGGACGTGAAGCCGTGGATGCTCCAGGTGAATCCGAAGGAGGCGGTGGCCGTGAATTCTATCATGCAGCTGCACCGGCTGCTCGGATCCGATACGAACCGGAATTCCCCAATCGAGATGGTGCTGTCCTGGATCCGGAACCTCAACCCGAAGATCGTGGCGGTTGTGGAGCAGGAAGCGGACCATAACAAACCCGGTTTTCTGGACCGGTTCACGGAGGCGCTGTACTACTACTCGAACATGTTCGACTCGCTGGAGGCTTGCGCGATGCAGCCGGAGAAGGCTTTGGCGGAGATTTACATACAGAGGGAGATATGCAACGTTGTGTGCTGCGAAGGAGCGGCTCGAGTCGAGAGGCACGAGCCACTGGACAAGTGGCGAACCCGGCTCGAGCAAGCCGGGTTCAGGCCGCTCCACTTGGGGTCGAATGCGTATAAGCAGGCGAGTATGCTTCTTACTCTCTTCTCGGCTGAAGGGTACCGCGTGGAGGAGAACCAAGGCTGCCTCACTCTCGGTTGGCACAACCGTTCTCTTATCGCGGCTTCGGGCTGGCAAGTGATGTCTATGCCCGAAGCCACGACCAACCAAGAAGCGGTTGGAATTATTAATCAGAATAATAATCCCAATCATATCTGAACTTCCACCTTAATTAGCTCGTTTTTGTTTTTTAATTTTACCATGAGTTTCTTGCTCTGTGTTCTACCTTAATGATCAAGAAAATGCTTATAATATGGTAAATCCTGCCGCAAATAATACCCACATTCAAGAATAACATATTTTGGGATGGCTTAAATTTCTTGTTCATCATTTTCTTATAAGCCAGTTTTTAGTGTCAAGTGGTACTAATTAACTATCTTAACACTCTTACAACCCAGTTTTTAGGGTTAAGTTATACTAATAAGCTCTTAAGAATTCCTATCAGAGTCTGAGTCTAGCAACCAACTAGGTCATTTCACGAAAGCGAAAACCTATAGATTCTTAATGACGAGTAAACTCACATTATCAGCGTTAAATTATCAGATTTGTGGAGTGACGAGAGAAGACATAGCCAGAGAGATCAACGAAGCTTTAGGAAAATTATGGTTTGGTAGCTTGTATGGTCAACAGGCAGTCAACGCAGGAAAAGGTGGCTGTGGGAAGGCAAGTGTCCCTTGTGTGTCCTTCAAGATTGATTTTGTGGGAAAAATTAAAAAAAAATGATAAATAAATTGCAAAAGGAAACCAGAGTGGTTGCTGACGTTTACTAAGCTTATTCTGTGCTATCTAGGTCTAGGGTCTAGCCTCTCGACTGCTACCTGCGACCAAACACTAATAATTCTGCCTGCGTAGTACGTACGCGTGTTGGTGTGAATGTGACGGCCGATTACATAGAATTCAATCTGCATTTTTTTTTATCTATTTCCACCTAATTTCTTTATTAGTTTGTTAAATAGACAAGTTTTTTTTTTCCCTTAATTTTGATCATATTTTGTAATGTTCATTTAGCTCGGATGCAATACAAAAGTTGCATCAAAGTTGATCACCGGAGAAAGTTTACTCATATTATGCAATATGCACTTAGAAAAATAGAACTGTTACGCATTTAGATTTTGTCAAATTGAACAAACCTTATAAATATATGCGAAATACATCAAGCGATGTCATTTTCAAGGGTACTATTTGGGGATTTAACTCATTACCTAATATGTGGAAAAGGAGAAGACCAATTCTTTATGGGTATCTCCACATGAATGGAAATAGAATAGAGATATTTACTTTACACTTACACATGCGAAACTTAAAGGAAGTAACCACAATCACAAGTGGAATTCTCGATGCCATTTTCCCATCATTGATGGAGATGTGATCGATGCCTATCAAAAAAGTGAAAAAGCAAAGAGATAATGAGGTGGATGAGTTAAGTACAGTGGTATCTCATGTTATCTCAAGCAGATATCATTTTCTTCATTGACAGTGTTCATCAAATTTGAACTCAAGATATTTTTTTTATGAAAAAAAATTGGTGTCTTAAAACTAAACTAAATAACAATTGATTTATTAGTCACTCAGCCATCCTATTGAAATGAGGAGAAATAGAAATGGTGGGGGCAATGGATAGGGATGTGCCAAATGCCTATAAATTGTCAAAAGAGAGTGATAAAAAAAAAATAAAAAAATAAAAAAATAAAAAAAAAACAGAAAGGTGGATACATGAGTTGAGAGTAAAGTGGCTTCTCAAATTATCCGACGAATAGGTTTCAATTTTACAATAACAGTTGTTCACTAGATTTAAACTCAAGATCTCTTTTAATAAAATTGAGACATAGTATCATTAAATTGAATAATTACTGATTTAATTATATTAAACGACTCGATCCTCGATCCAAATGACGAGAAAAGGAACGGGGAGCATGGAGGAATGGCAATGGGGCCATGAACAATACAATCCCAATAGTGAATTAAGCTAATAAGTTGTGCAAGAAAATGAAAAGAGCATGTAGGGGAACCAACTTTGGAAGCATAGAAACATAAATGCAGAAACACCATCTCTACCTTCTCCATTAAGTTGTTGGGTTGGATTTGAACCATCGATTGTGATTTTTATCGAAAGATAATATAGAAAAAGATCGATGCATGCACAAAACCAACCAAGGGATACATAGATAGATTGATGATCGATCCCCAGTTGCAATTGGCATTTCAAAGGACGACATCGTTGTAACGCTTTTTGATTAATCATGCAGATGGGCTGCATGTGGGTTTTGCCAAGAACGGAAAAAAGAAGGCACAAAACGGGACCCTCCGGACGTAATAATTTGTCAAGAGGGGCTCAACATTGCCTCACTCACATGACACCACCGTCCTCGATCTGCCTCTTTCGACACCTCTCCATGTTTAAAGAGTAATTGACCTCTCTCTGCTGACTCATAAATACAACGACCCCAGTTCATTCTTCTGATACTTTGATTAGGTTTCTTGAGTACTCTTACAATTAGGGTTTCGATTTATGAAAATTATTGCATGCGTCTAAGTTTAAAAAGTTATGCTAAAACGTGAGCCTAGGAACGAATGGGAATGAGTATATATAGACTGAAGATCTTTGAGCATATACAGGACTTCAATTTTCAACGTGAAATATGTCCACAGTTTGTCGATATATTGTTATCAATAACTGGCTCAAATTATGACAAGAATTCAAGTTCGTTTTTAAGACTTTGGATGAATTAACAGCAGCGAAAAAATTTCTGTAAATATTTTTGTTAGTGCATCTTTAAACTCTAAAATGCTAGCCAAAATAACTTCAAATGACATAAACGTCATGTATTGCAACACACTTTTATAATGCTCTGTAGCAATGCACTTTATATTTCGTTAATGTTGTTCTCTCGCTTGAATAATCGTAATGCACTCGATTGAGAGTGGCTTTAAATACAGACTTAATCAATTTAGTTAGAGTAGTGTGTTCGTTCTCGGGACTCAAATTTGAATATTCCCATTGCTACGTTATTTAATTTAAGATATCTTATCATTGGTGAAAAAAGAAAAACCAACTAGTATGTTTGAAAGAAAAAATAATAATAATTCAAACTTGATATAGAGCTAAAAAATCTAGTCCATCGAAGATGCTCAAACTAGAGGCCCACCAAGTTGGCCTGTTTTTTGGTCTTCACGTGATCCCGTTACGGAGCCCCTCAGAGCAAGTTGTAGCGAGCAAGTTGTAGCGAAGTGGGCCAATGTTGGGCCCACACTAATTTCTTTCCAAAGAGGACCACAAAACGTAACCCAAACTCTGCGAGGGGCAGCATATTCGCGCGTCAGTTACCTCCCACGTGTTGACAACGACATAATCTTCTCACCTTTCCGAGGTCAATACTTTTTGGGTGTCATGAGTCATGACCCATCAACGTGTGGGCACCGCGCCCTGACGTCGACGCTTGATTCTTGCCTTAATAGCGCGCTTGCGTATCTAGAATGCGTATTGTGGTTTGTAAGTCGATGCTTGAAAAACAAACAGGTAAATGAGGAGATTGGATTTTAGAGTCGCATTCCGAGCCATCGACATTTCGGCCCCACAATGAATTTTCCGTGATGTGGATGCCTATTTTCTTGGACTAAATTCATGGAGTGGTTTTTTCACAAAAGTGAACACCTCATGCTAGTTGAACTGATTGATCGTTGACATATGAATAATGAAGAACTTAACAGCATAATCTCCGGGTTTACGTCCTCTCTCATTCCAAGTAACTAAACACGCTACAAAGTTTTCATAAAAATAATGGGGCTCAAGCCCAATTCCCCAATTTTGAATGGGCAGGCCCAAAGTGGGGAGTGTCCTCCGGGTCCAAAGCCCAAACGACACGTCATCTTCCCAGAGCTCCACTGAAAGAAAAGAATTGAGAACTGAAAGTCCTGAGAGAGATGACGATAGACGACGAGAGCTCCGTCTACGTCGGAGGCCTTCCGTACGACGCCACCGAGGAAACCGTCCGCAGAGTCTTCGAGCTGTACGGTAACGTCATTGCCGTTAAGGTCAGCTCCCTCCTCCTCCTTCATCCATTTGCCGCCATTTTTACTTCGTAGGGTTCTTAAGCATTAAGGATTTTCTTCCCCTCATCTCCTTCTTGTTCTTCTTCAATTTGCAGATTATCAATGACGCCACGGCTCGAGGAAAATGCTATGGCTTTGTCACTTTCAGGAATCCTCGGTCAGCAATTCTCGCCATCAATGAGATGGATGGCAGGGTATGTAATTTTTGCTTTCTTCTTCCATTTGATTGAACATCTATGCTATTAGGGTTTCTGTGATTGGCTTATTATCTTATATCCTTGAGTGAAATTTGTATGGTTTTTCTTTTGTGTGTTTAGACTGTTGATGGAAGAGTGATCAGAGTAAATGAAGTTAGGAGTAGAGGTGGAAGATTGAGTTTTGGGAGGGAGAGGGAGAGTTTCCGGCGGAATGCCAAGAGGGCGAGAAATTGGGATAGAGCTAGAGACCATGAGATGGATTTTAGTCGGGATAGGGACCGGTATAAGGATAGGTACAGTGATCAGTCGAGGGAGTGTGACCGTGACAGGTCCCCTGAGGATATTGGTGAAGAAATGGATAGACGGTATGAGGGTGAACACAATTATAAACATGTAAGGGACCATTTTTTGGATATAGATCTTGATCAGGATAGAGTTGCGGAAGGTAGCGAGCAAGCACAGAGCAGGGACCGCGATCAGGGTTGGGAAAGAGACCGAGCTTTGGTGTCCGATATGGATAGGGATATGGATAAAACCAAAAGCCTTGATAGCACCGGCGACAAGGATGGAGATGACCAGTCAAGGAGATGGAACGGGTAAGATACCCTTGCTTATTTGTAATTGTTGGTTATCATTGTAGTACCATGTTATCAGTTGAGTAGCAATCGTGTTTCTTGGGAGATGATCACAAAAGTTCAATTAAACAGACTTTTATTGCTCCTATAAGAACTAGACCTTTCTTCATTATGTTTTGGTTTCTTTTCTGCAGTTCAAATACTGTTAACCGACAAAGTCGGGACCTCGTATCTCATCCAAGTGATGATTACAATGTTCAGGCAAGTTCAGCTGTTTTTCAGCTTTTCTTGCTAAGAGATTGCTATGCATTTGTAAGTTTGTGTCATCTTAACCAAAGTGATTCTTTGTTCTCATTTGGTCTGTTAAAAACATTAGGTAAAAGAACAGCTTGACCAATCCATGCGAAGGGTTGAAGAAATAAAAAATGAGGTCTGTCTCTCCATAAGAACTTACCCTGATTTGTCCGATTATTTCACAAGTACCTAAGGCGGCATCCAATAGTCTTTTAGATGTCAATACGCAAGAGGCACATTTTATGGTAGTTAAGCGTACTTTCAATGCCTGAAATCATCGTCTGCAATGTAGGAGACTAAGTTTTATTGCATGATGTCAGACCATTCAGATGGAGGAGATCATAGAGGAGAAAGAAAAGCTTATTTTGGATTTACAGAATAAATCTAAGGTACTTTTTCTTATTGGTTAAAGGTCATTTTTTATCTCGTGCAATCTTTGACTTTCATCTGAATGTATGTTTTACTGCAAGTCTTTTGGTTTTACATGCTAAACTTGGTGCATGTCATACTGTTTGGGCCCAAAATATTATGATTGGGCCGAGCAGCAAGACGTGCTCGGCCCAAGGTAATAACACATGCTATGGGCCAAGTAATGAGACTCGGACCAGCTGGCAGGGTCGGCCAGATCCGATCTTAAGTAGTCCAGATAAACGAGGAAAGGTCAAGGAGATCCTGATGCAACCAGGATTCTCGACCGGCAAGGGATAGAACCTCAAAAGTAGGAGAATTCAGAATCCCAATAGGACTGGGATTGTTTGAATTAAAGGTAAGATGGGACAAGGACTCCCAATCCAAATCAGAATGGGAATCAAGGAACGAGGTGCTATAAATACAAGAAATTACGCAATAGAAAGGACGCCACAATCAGCATACAATTGCCCTGCGCAAATTCTCTCAAACACCTTGAGATTTTTCCTTTTCTTTCCCCGCCGACACACCTTCAGTTTGGATAAACAGCATTGTGGAAGCAACCGGTGAGCACCTTCAGTTTGGATAAACAGCACTGCTGCCGCAGAATCAGCCGACCAAGATACACCTTCAGTTTGGATAAACAGCACTGCGTTGAGGTCGACCGATTATCTATCTAAGTCTCGGCCGAGAAAGGTTTTCGAACCTTTGTTGGTAGAGGTCATCTTACTAAGCCGTTTCGGCATAGTTGGGTGTTACGAATTGCCTTGCTCGGCGCATTGGAGGCCGAGTGAGTTTATGATTGGATACTCACAAGTAGGTTTCAGGGTTCGGCATTCCGACGGCCGAACTACGTTTACCATCAAGACATATATCACATTCGAGTACCTGTGCCCGTATAGTTTGGTCTCAATTCGGCGTGCTTATACTCTTACAAATATAATCACAGTGGCCGAATCAGGCCTCGACGAGTTGTGAACTCCGTAGAATTAGTAGCCTTGTCTTCAGGCTATAGAATCCAGAGACCGAGAGCGTTCCTTCCTCGGTCGCAATCGCAAGATACAGAAGTCAACAGCACGCTCAACGCGACCGCATCAAATTTTACTCCTCGGCCGGGCTCGGCCGACGAGTTGGCACGCCCTGCATTCAACCGAAGGACATTAGTTAGCTCATTAGTTATTCAGCCTGCGCGCCACGTAGGTTCTGTAATTTTTGTAGCCAACATTTTGGCACGCCCAGTGGGACCATTGTGCTAAACCTTCGGAGTTCATGACCGTAGAGACACGGTCTACCAAGAAGAAAACAAACATGGGAAAGTCAACAGTTGACTTACCAGTGCAAGGCCTTGGGCAGGATTCGCACCCAGCAAAAAATCCGGTCATTGCTTTGCCACCCGAGGCTACAAGTGTGACCCGCCGAGAGAATGAGATTTGTTTCGGTGGGCAACCTCACAACGCGGCGATCCCGAATCAAACGACGCCCATATTCGTGGAGGGGATAGTGGAAGACTGCGACGACGATGGTGGAGAAGGCTCTGATCCACCAACTAGGTCGTTTCTTCGGAGACGACTTGATGAGCAGTATCGTCAGGTCGAGCAGTCGATTGGTCAAAAGATGAATGATTTGCTAGAAGCAATACGAAGTAACAACGATACACAGACCAGAATGCTTGAAATATTAGTTAGTAAAGCCTTCGAAGATGGCCAGGTCGGCCAACCTCGGCAGCTCTCGACGAACGTGCCCATACCAGCCGATAGAGCGCCCGCTCGACCGCAACCAGTCACCTTAGAAAGAGGACCAGGAAATAGATCCGAGGGACCAAGCCAGGGAGAAGAAGCCGCCTCCGTGAACATGACCGAAGTCCAGAGAATGATTGATTCGGCCTTGAAGAAAGGACCGAAGTTTCCAAAATTCATTCATCCATACCCGGCTTACGTAGAAAGGTTTGAATACCCACGGGGATTTAAGATCCCTGATTTCAGCCTCTTCGCTGGGGAATCGTCTTTGTCCTCATTAGAACATGTGGCTCGGTTCACGGCGCAGTGTGGAGACGTTAATAGCGACTTCTACAAACTACGTCTGTTTAATTTTTCATTGACAGGCTCCGCTTTCGCCTGGTACATTAATCTTCCACCCAATTCTGTGCAGAGTTGGGAGGAGTTGGTCGAAAAATTCCATGAACAATTCTATCGGCCAGGGATGGAGATGTCAGTATCATCCTTGGCCAGGATGGCTCAAGCATCCGACGAATCTCCAATGGAGTACTTAACAAGGTTCAAGTCGGCCAGGAATTGGTGCCGAGTACCACTCCCCGAAGTGGAATTCGTCAGGATTGCTCTCAACGGATTAGACGTGGAGTACAAAAAGAAGTTCCTGGGGGCAAACATTCGCGATATGTACGAACTTGCTCAACATGTCGAACAGTATGATTACCTGCTCCGAGAAGAGAAGGTCTCAAAATCACCATCCCGAGGAACGTTGTATAAAAACCCCACGGTCAGCTATGCATCGGCCGAAAGCGGGGACCCTCAGTACGTCAGTGTGGATGCGGCCGAGATAGTAATAGATAAACCATACGTCTGCAAGGCTCTGGCTCAAGTACACGGCAAAGACACCAAAGCCCATTCGGCCGCCGAGGACATAAGTAAATCTTCAAAAGTATACACTTTCGACATCACCAAGGCCGATGCAATTTTCGATCAATTATTGGCGGCAAAGATCATCAAGCTTCGGCCGGGACATATTGTCCCTAAGGCCGATGAATTGAAAGGAAAGATATACTGCAAGTACCATAATTCTAATAAGCATGCAACAAATAATTGTGTCGTGTTCCGGGATACAATCCAAAGTTGGATCGAGAAAGGAAAATTGAAATTTCCGGAAAAGCAGATGGCGGTCGACGTCAATCCCTTCCCTTCAACAACAATTGGTATGGTGGATGCTCATCTTCCTAAAAACAAAGGGAAGGCCGAATACGTTCCGGTGCAGCATATCCGTAAACAGAATGGTCGAACAAGGCTAAAGCTTGATATATTTTCGAATGCACCACCCACGGAACAATCGAGGCCCCTCGCTGATGAGCCTGTGACGGGGTTGAGTTCAGACGAAACTCATGGATCAAAGGTTTTATGTGACCATTGTAAAACACCGGTTGAACCTGGGAAGAAGACATTTTCAACACCACCTACGGTCCCATCCATATCACCGAAGGAAGTTGGTCCGCGACGTCAAGTGTTCGATCGACTCGGCCCACAAGTACGGCCGAAAGACCAGGCCTCAGTCAGGCGGCGTCTTGACTTCGACGCGCCTTTCTATAATGAGGATTACTACTCGCACAATACCAACAGTTCCAGCTCGTCAGTCGATCGCAAAACTTTCAAACCACCTAGAACATCGGATCAACGCTGGTACAGTTACAATTCCCCGACTGGTTTATATACAGCGCTGTCTAAGTCCCAAAAACGTCGCCGTCAACGGATTGATTGCATGGCTCGGCGACGAGAAGTGCAGGCCAGCACTGCCAACCAGTGGCAACCAAAGAAGGCCGCGGAAAGTAAAAGTGAACGGCCAACCCCGACTATCATGACCGAATTGGCCCAAGGGAAGCAAGTAGCCGCTGCCGGTTTTGAAACCACCATTGAGGATGCCGAGAAACGTATCAAAATCCTTCTCCGGCCTGGGGAAACGAGAGCTCGGCTAGAACACTTCACGCAAGAGGCCGAAAGGAAGATTTCCCCATCACCATCGCGCGAACCGTTTATCAAAGTACGGCGCAACTTGCATCCCCCATTCCTCGGTGAATCCTTGGAATACATGCGAGAGTTTCATAAGAAATACTCCGCCAATGACTTGTACGGACTACCCAAGGAGTGTCAGGAAGCCCTCGACCTAGCTCTCACTTGCCCTGATGCCGAGCAAATCATTCAGAAAACCTCCGACCCAGCAATAAAGGCAAGGTTCCAGCATATACGGGAAGCTCGGGTACTTGGTTTTGATGTTGATCCTTGTACAGATATCGACACCGCCGAATTACCTTTCTCGCTCGATGACCTTCAGCATTTGCGCTATCATTTCGAAGTTTTCTCGGCGGTATCACTCTTCGGCCTCACGGCCGACGAAGAAAAACGAATAGCAAGGTTGGATACATATCTCGACACTAGGAACGCCCGCATTGCCTATGAAGAACGAGCCCGTATAACAAAGGACCAACATAAATCTTCGACAGTCAACATGGTCGAGGAAAATAGCCACACCACATTCGACTTGGTTCCCACGTCTCGGGTACCGGCTCTTACCGAGGCACTTGAAAGCTTGATCGAGGATGTTCCGCCGGCTGATACTGTGGCTAGTTCGGCAGAAGACGACGACCACGATCCAATGGGTCCTTCGGTCCTCGAACAAATGGAGATCAGTATGGTCCACGTGTTACCAGTCGAATTTCAACCAAGTACATCCCAGTCAAATTTCTTGGATGGGGATGTGGTCGCCGAGGAGGCAACACAAGTCGATTTCATCGCAAACGATGACGACCGAGAAACCCGAAGCACGGACAACCTTAAGGCGGCACTGGCCGAGCTATTTCCTCGCTCCCCTTCGGTTAATCTCCAACACCTGAAGCCGTTGTACATCACGGCTCACATCGAAGGATTCCCTATTTCCAAAGTGTTTGTCGACTGTGGGGCCACAGTCAACATTATGCCAATATCTGTCATGAAGGCCTTGCGCCGTTCTGATAATGAACTCATTCCGTCAGGGATCACTATGAGCAGCTTCATTGGTGACAAGTCTCAGACCAAAGGAGTGTTACCATTGGAGGTTAGCATTGCCGGTCGCCAACACATGACGGCATTCTTCATAATTGATTCCAAGACCGATTATAACGCATTACTTGGTCGAGACTGGATCCACCAAACCAGTTGCATTCCTTCATCACTGTACCAAGTTCTCATCTTCTGGGATGGCAAATCGGTTACCATCCATC